CACAGGTCTCGTTAGGCTCCCTGGCTGGGAACCCAGAGATCATGGTCACCGGTGGTAAGAGACACTGAGCGATATGGCTGGGTGTCGCAAACAATGGCGCTCATGCCCTTATTGATTCTTGTAACTCCAGTCTATGAAAATGTGCTATCTTCCGCTTAAATCTGCTCTCAACATTCTAATCATCATTCTGCTATTTTATCCAAATGGGTAACCTAAACCAGCGCACGAAAGGGCATGGTTAATGGTTATAAGAAAAAAACATTACATGTCCACTGGCCGGCAGCCCAGTCCGAGAGTGTACCACTCTATAGACACTCCCTCACTGGTATATGCACGCAAACGGGATCTCCGGGTGCCGATTTCCACGTCGTTTCCTGTACAACAGCCGAAANAAATTGTGAAGCTTTAGAGGGCTCAACGAGCCGCCAATCGCATGATTGCCGGGTTAAGTGGATATTGCTACACAGAACGATTGCGTGCCATTGGATTGTTCCCGGGGTCATATCGCCGAGTTCGAGGTGACATCGTATGCGTACGACATGACCTGGGTCAACAGCTAATGGAATATTTCCCTTGGCGCTAACAGAGCAGAACTCTTGGGCACAGGCTCACGTTTCTGAAGTTTCTATCAATCGGATTACCTCATCCACCTTCTGTCTACTCAGTATTTTTAGCCATCTAACTTTATATACATCTAAATCTTTATCTTGAGGCTATCCTCATATCTTTTTCTTCAATTCGCACTCTGAGTCAGTTACAGATCGTAACTAAAATCGGATCCTTGGATTGCTGAGTTAATTCGTGAAGCCGTCCATTGTAATTTTTAGTTTGGTTCAGTTTAAACAACCATACACTTTGGTGCAGTGGTTTCGGTTTAATTTGTAGTCGCAAAATGACAATTACATAGAGCAACAAATGAGTCATCTGAGAGCAAGAGCTGTCTCAAACCCTCGACGACGATTGTATTGGGATAATCTGTTGAGCAAAATGAGAGAAAACATGCAGATAGGGAAAACCAACACGCATAGTGCACATACCTACTATTTATTTGTTAGAATAACAGTTCAAGTACAGAAGGAGNGACGTCACTACAGATTGTGTGTACGGTTGTTCCCTTCGTCTGAAACCATTCCGAATCCTGTTTCAGGTATCCCGTATTTGCTGTTCTCTGTGATATTATCGCTGTTGATCACTGGGACAGCGAAAAAGAGAGGAAAAACGAAAAGATGGCGGAACAACCTGAGAAACGATTGGGTGGAAAATATCATATTCTGCGCGAACTGGGCAAGGGAAGTTCAGCTGTAGTCTATCTTGCGGAACTTGTGGGTGCCGACGAGAAAGCTTTGAGGTAAATACAGAGTGTTGGTTTCCTTTTTAGGACTTATTATTATACATTGTAGGGCGATTAAATGTTTCCGTACAGATGGTCTGAATATGGAAGAGAAGCAACGTTTGGTTGACGAAGCCAGTCTACTGTCCAAAATGAAACATCCTTTCATATTGCGCTTTTATGAGAGCTTTTTCGAAGGGGAAAAGTTTTTCATCGTAACTGAACATTGCAAGGTAAGTTTTGAAAGACCGCATTTATTATCGGTATTTATCAAACACCGTACACTATGTACTACGATAAGTAATAAGTAATTGCCCAGTTCCAAATCTGCAAACAATGGTGATTTTTTGTCTTTTTGGAATGAAGTGTCTTTCGAAACTTTATTCTTTTCCTGAAAATTCTGAAGAGAATTTGTCCTATTTCTAAGTTCATATTCATCCCTCTTCTCTTGCACTAACTTGAACTGGAACGTATCCAGTAGCCAGAGTTTATTGGACTCAAAAAATCAATCCGAATACATCTGAAATTCGTTTATAGATATGTAGGTAGAATTCGTCAGAATTGCGAATAAATCCTAAGCAGATTTCCGCGTGAAGTTTTCACAAAACGACTAAGTCCCGATTGGTTGTAAGAACTGAATTGAACTGAAGTCCCGATTTCCAACGGACAACAATCACGAACCTCGAATCGTGAGACGCCCGGGTGTGTAAGTTCCCGTCCCCAAAGCTATTGTCAATGTGGAGGCGCCTCATTAATAGAAAAGTTATTGTTTTAATGGAGATCAAAGACTAATTAAGAGGGAAAGTGAAACAGCGCTTGGCTGTCAACGAACTGTTAATGAAAGACGTGTGTGAAGTGTGTATGATATATAATGCGCTCACGGATGCATGCGTACACATCACTCGTGCACACGGGTGAATGAGCTATGCCAGTCGTCACAGGAAGAAATGTGACTCCTGACAATCCAGTGTCCAGTTCATTGTGTTGTTGGCGGATGTTCTTGGTTCACAAGACTACGTATCAATAGATTATCCCTAGTGGTATTTTCAATCCTGCCCAGTTTCTCTGTGTATGCTGAGGCAACAAAAAGTGTCCTCTCACCTCATATGTTTGATTAAAGGATCAGGAATAAAGAAGTGTAGCTCAAGATACAACTAAACCAATGTGTGTGGGAGTGGAGGGAGGAAGGGATAAAGAGAAACAACGGAGTTACGGATATTGAGATGAAGATCAATCCGATCGATATGCTTGCTAGATCCTCCCCGGTTCAGTGCACCTTAATCTGATGACTGTAGCCCGATGCACGCCCAATCAGAGTGATAACAAGGAACGGTATTGCTCATGAATTTTAGTAGACTGCTAGAAGAAGGTGGACAGAAGAAGATGATTCCGATCTGAGGGCAGAACTACATCAGTGACTTGCTTTTGTGTATGATTATTGTGATGTGTTTGATGGTGATGAAATGAGAAACGCAATTTTCATAGTTATTTAGTATTAGTAATACTACATTCAGAATGCATCGAAAGGATGTAAGTTATCAAGGACATGTGTGGGATCATTTTTATCTGTCACATTTATGAATTTTGATGTTTGATGATGCGTAAGTCACTTTTTCTGTTCTCTTTTATTCATTGACACGTTAATCAAGGGTGGCGATTTGGCCCAATTTTTGCGTGACTTGAAGGAATCCGGTCATCATTTGGGGGAGGAACAAATTGGTCGATGGATTGTTCAACTACTTCTGGCAATCATCTATGTACACAATGCCAAGGTTTTGCACCGTGATTTAAAAACCAGGTTTGTCAACGTGATTTTCGAGGCAAAAACAACAACAATCCATTACTATGTGTTTTCTCTCCTACCTAAGATTCGGTGATAATCTTCCAATTCCCGTTTATTTGATTTATAACGAACGTACAACCAATATTCAGGAAGGTGGCCGTAAAACAACTGAGATAGTATGTGACGACTGTGTGGTTTTGAACTCATGAACTGCAAGACAACGTGTGAACGTTTTTTGTCACTTGTCCACGATGAGAGCGACGCCATTGCGTTAACGTTTATGTGTGTGGCAACAAACATTTTCCCTACCTTTGAAATAAAACAGACAGCCACAAATGGCGTGTTGGACAGCTGTTTTAACCTTGTTGAATGATGTCACAGCCCGAATGTATGTGCACCACCCACCCATCTGGTCATCGAGAACCCGATAAAGCTGACTTAGCACGTCTGCACATAAATTCAAAGGGGGATTTTGATTGATGATTCAGTGGTCTCCGGCGTTGAGCATCATCATGCTTACATATATATATAAAACCCATCTTTACAGATACGGCACCAAAAAACCGTGTGTTAACGAAAAATATAGTTACAGGAGCGGGGAGAACAACACAGTCAATTTAGGGTAACAGCAGTTTTTGTTTGTTTGTTTACTGCACGCCATTTTGAGTTTTCTCGTCTTTGTTTATTTTTGGAATTGCACACTGCAGAGGATGCATTCACCTCACTGACTTCCGTTTGATACCATATCCCTCAGGGTTTCCAGCCAAATACAATCTGAATCTTTCGAGCCCCAGCCGGGGCGCCTCAATGGAAGCCAGATCCGTTCACAAGCTCTTTAGACCTCTGCGCTACGTCATAGCCTGCCGACCTCGCTATTTCTTCCAGCATGAGCCGATGTCTGCGAATAGTGAATGGTGTGGCAGGCGTTGCTCAGGCATTTGTAGGACGTGTCCTAGCCACCTAAGACGATGCCGACCGATCACCAGTGGTCAGTTAACCCGGTGGGAAGCGCCGGGCATTCGCCTTTGCCCTTCCGCTTTAGTTTGAACACCTCCGTCACGAGAAGGCAGTGTGTAGGACTTCCTCAGCAGAAGCTGTTTGAGGCTCTTGATCGTTTGGGAGCATTTCTAGAAGAGTTCGGGACGAATGGCCATTTCGGAGCACGAAACACTCACTCTCGACCATACTGAGGCATTTGGAGGTATCACTATCAAACGATATAGAAGTAATGATGAATCAAGCTGCAAGTGGTCGGATTAACAGCACTTTCGGTAATCAGACTGAATAATACCGATCGATCAGGACTGCCTCGTGCGTTTCTGTCGTCTAAGGACACCATTCTGACGGTCTTGCACTTCCTGTCCCAATGGAAAAAAGTAAAGGGTGGTCAAACGAAGACCTGGCATGAAGGTATGGAAACCCTGACCAGGCGACTTACTCACAAAGGTTACTGTAGGCTTCCTGGATGGGGACATGGCGATAACCGTAATCAATGGTTAGAGACACTGAGTGATATGGTTAATTGTCGCAAACAGTGGCACTTGTGCATCCTCTCAATTTCTTTACAACCGTAGTTTCCATGAATTCTCCATTTTCACTGTGACGCTGACTTGAACATTCCATTCCTCCCTTTACTCCTTCATCCAGATGATCAATCATGAGACAGAAACCAGAACTGAACTGATTTGTAACTACTGAGCGACCAAAATAAACAAAAGTATCTTGTATGGATCACGAAGCGCCATAAAAATTGTTGCACATCGTCTTCTACAGATTCTATGACAACCCATGATAATGAGAGTCTCTCAAATACTTTGAACACGACTGATATGCAGGCGATGATTCGGTACTTCCCGGGGTTCCCTTCGGGGGATTGAAGTCAGTCTCGAAATGTCAGGAATTGTCCCATTTTTTCTTTTCGTTATACTTCCTTTTATTGAATATGCAAAGACAATTTTCAGGAAGTTCGAAAGTAATTAAAGAGGCGAGCCGGCGAACCTGAACGGGTGTCCGCACATACCTTGAGTACCACAATAGATAGTTTATCCGGGCCATGAGCTTCATTTATCCTGTATCACATGAAAGCCCTTAAATTGACCGCTTCCTTCCTCCTGAAAATGTTTTGCACAATCGTGCATCCAATAAAGGAAAATAAAAGCAGTCGCTGGTCACTTAGCATAGATTGTAATTCGCTTTTGTCTGTGTTCATTTTACCAACTGTGTGCCATCCACAACTTTGTGGTACTTCAATCCGGTCCTTTTGTGTTGTTGTCCAATGTTTTTGGCTTCATCGTTTCACATAATGAGCAATAGGGGGCTTGTATTGGTGGCTGAAGTAGCACACAAGTTGTTACGATAAATTTACCTATATGAACTTGTGAACTAGTAAGAAATATTGTCCTTGTTGTTGTTGTTGTTGTTGTTGTTGTTGTTGTTGTTGTTGTTGTTGTTGTTGTTGTTGTTGTCATTTTTATCGTCACGAACTAGACCAGTAGTTTTCAGAATAACAATTTTTTCTGTTATTGCATTTTTCAAGAGTCACAACGCATGCATTTTGTTCTTGAATGTTTCTTTTTGGTTTATATTTCCTCCCTCTTGCCTCCCGTTCTTGTTTACAGTAACATTTTCCTCCAAGACGGTGGTGACGTTCGCATTGGCGATTTCGGAATCTGTCGGACGTTGAATTCCACTCAGGATTTGGCAACCACATTTGTCGGCACACCGTACTATATGAGCCCCGAATTACTGACTCAGAATAGTTACAACAATAAATCTGATATATGGTCAGTATCCGTAGTTTTTTTGTTCGAATCCATTCTATTGCGTATCAAAGTTGTCGTGACGGTCATTTCTCTGCACTAGGCAGAGGAACTAACCGGACAACGGTAGTATACACGCAACCCTCCTCGGATAATCGAAAGTGTGAACTGAACTGATCAAACTCGTGAAAAACGGAGAGATAACTTTCCGTGTGAAATGGCCAATAGTTCAATTTTCTTCTACTCCACACTCAATCTAATCCTACTTGTCTTATCCTAGACACCACATGCTGTGTAAATATGACCGTATTGACGCGCTCGTCTGCACACACATACATGTATCACAGTAGTGGATGGCTCTATTGTCACTATAAAGCCTGATCTGTTGAGTCCTGTTGTGGTTCACCTCTCCAAATCTCAGAATCATGATTTCCGGTTCTCTCCTCGCCTTCTTAATCTTGATTTTACTCAGACGCTCGCTCGCTCACTCTCCCCACTTGCAAAACAACCACAAACTCATTGCCGTCCCCTCAACTAATGTGGCCGGAGCTGTTTCCTTTTTCAGTCATTACTTTTGCACTGTTTGTTGCTCATTTAACTACTCGTCCATCTGTCTAGAGTGACCTCGGCCAAACATCTGGGTGTTACTATGGATAATAATCTTCGGTTGTCGACACCCATTCAGAACTATATGGGAAAACTTTGGCGCCTCCTTTCAGCTTCGGAAGCTCAGCAAATTTCCCAACCCCTAAAAAGTTTTGTTCTCCTTTGTGCATTCTCCCTATTTTACTTTAATGTCTATTGAAACAAGACTTTAAAACTAACTATTCGCGTGGATTGGTGATAATAAACCGTGCATCTTTAATTTCTGCCGAATCATTAATCACAGAACTTATTAATGGTCTTATGAAGTCTTGTATGACCTTTGCCAATCAGATTCTAAACGACCCCTCCCTTTCTTTGCATCTTGACTTATCTTCTTGTTGATCAAACTTGATCACTCGTTCCTCTTATCGGTATCTAGACTCTCGAATAAACATTTATAAGAACTCCCCTGTACCACATCTGGCTCGAATCTTGACCAACAAGGAACGAGCTATAAATGAATTACGTCAATCTTTACTTGAATGAATCAAAACTTCGGAGACATTTTTTACAGCACTGTGTTGGATTTGTTTATATTTCCTCCGGTCTGACAACCAGTGTACAATTTTTAACTGAAATGTAAGCATATCTCAGCTTGTAAAAGTTATACAAATACAAAATCTACATTTTATTATTTTCGAACACCGAAAACTTGTTTATTACAGCCCCTAACTGATACGCGACCATCGCGAAAAATTTGAATGTCCGAATCAGGAATGATTGACCCACTTTTCTAGCATGTCGTTTGTGGGGTCAACTAACCGAGCCAGCTAGTTCACCTTCCCAAACGTCCCTGATGAATGTGCTCATACCTTTGATCTCATTCTCACTTCGGTCCCCTCTCTCTTCTCAAACATCTCTCTCCTTTCTCCGTTAGGCTTATCTGAACACTATTGTCTTTCTTGCTCCATCAAATTTACCCTTCCCTTTCATACACCCTCCTGGAAACACATTTTGGTACTACAACTCAACCAACTGGGGCGACTCTCGTGATTTCCTAGCTTCTTATACTTAAAGTGATTGTTGTTTTACTTCGTACATTTCCAAATCTGTTGCCAACTGCACCAACATTGTTCTTCAATGTATGCATCTGTTTATTCCACACTTTTCCAAACCCATGCATGTGATCGTGCTGTACACCTAAAAAGCTTAGCCTTCCATCGCTCGCCCACTCTTGCTTCATGCAAACTAGCGATCGATGTTCGACAACCATACAGAACACCATAGGGCACTTCGTCCACTGAAATTGCTTGCACTGGGTCTCGACCGCCACCGGTAGCCGAACATTTTAGACCCTTACCAAAGCAAAGTCCCATAATTTCTGCAGTTCCAATTTTTCTCTTTTTTGTTATTCTCCTGGTGATCTTTTATGTGCACCAAATCAGAAGGTAAGGTTTTTTTCTTTCCGATTCATCTGCAGCTCCAACTACACAACTATCCTACTCCTCCGACTTCCTTTCCACTAGCACCGCTTTCCAGCCTCGTGTTAACACTAGAAAGATTCACAAAGCAATACACTTTCTTCACCACTCGGTCTGGACGGTAAATCACCTATTGTCCTCAAAATGTCATCCCAAATTAGCGCCTGTTTCACTTCATATTTTCCGTCTAACTTTATAAGTCTCCGGACCCTTGATAAAAATGCCGTGGTTTTTCCCTTTCTAAAACGCGGTGACCTTTCTCAAATAATTACCGTTCAATTTCTCTAGCATCTGTTCTTTTGAAGGTATTTGAGACCGTCATTTTCAAACAAATGTGTACGTTTCTCGAACAAGAAAGGACTGTTCTATCAGTGAGATACTGGTTCTCATTACACTTGCCGAATCGCTACACTGATTAATTATGAAGAAAAACATTTTCCCGCTGAACATCTTGAAAGTTTTCGTCCGAGTTTGCCACGAACGTCTACCGGCGAGACTATCCATATACGCGTTCACTTTGACTCTTATCTTAGATATCATGTTTCTTTAGTTACCAAACAGTCTCTGTCGGAGTTGATGGGGTTCTCAAGGTTTAGTACTTGAACTCACCTTTTCTACTATTTATTAATTACTGATTTCCTATTCAAGGTTTCACATCCGATCCAATCCTTTATCAATGAAATCACCTTTCATTGTTTCCTGTCTTACCACACTTCTCACCATGCCGACCCCAACACCGATCTTGACGATAGTGCACTCAATATGGACTCTGAGCACGAGCACATTTCTAGGAGTTACCACAATCACATTGCACTCATTCTTTCATGTTCTTTGAAATATGATCGAATCTTCTCACATCAATCCCTTGATTCCGTCATATTGCCTTCCACAAAATGTTTCTCTTCGTCGATGAATTATCACTTTTTCGTTATGCTTTTCCTGTTTTATATTTCAACTTCTTCTCGCCACATGCCAAGTCGACTTTCGATTCCACTCCAGACAGTTCTTTACCCCAAGCCAGCCCACTCCACTATAAAACACAAAAATCCGCCTCGCACTGAAAAAGTTCAGTCATCTGTGAGGTGGGTTTTCGTTTTCTGCACTCTACCTTCTTGATTGTGTTCATCAGAAAACCATCCGGCTGATCCACATGTGTTCACTTCCAGCCTTCAGTCAATGGTCCATGGTCGCTTAGTTGCCGCAGTGGTTCTTCTCTACCGTGACTATTTTGCTTTTTTGTCCTTCGGAGTTTATTTTGATACTCCTCCCGTCTCTAATTTTTGCCCACCCATCTCATCCCCAGTTAGCGAATCATCCTTATTAGATTTCAAACACTCTGTATCCCATACTCCTCTCTTTCAGTCTTCCTTCTTCTCCCGAATCGTTAAAAAATGAAACATTATCACATTTTCTGTCTCCTCATCCACTGATAGTCATTCTTTCCTTAATCGCGGGATCCATAAAGAGGTTATCGGGTGAATGTACCCCAGCACACACACACACTCTCCGTTTTACATTTTGTATTTTGACTGCGGGATTCATCCCTTAAGTTGTAATGCAATGTAATATGTCATAAATGAACGTACTCAACGAAGACTAAAACCACTGGTTTGACCCAAGCCCCATGGATCGGTTTGTTCTCTGTTCGTTCCCTCCACCTTACCGAGTATATAAAAATATGGTCCACTTTTACGCATTGCAATGAAGGAATAACGTCCCTCCGTCCGGCCCGTGGTTAGTACGGCTTGAACACGATTTTGCGTTTCACTCTATCGATCAGACTGAGAGAGGTTAACTACGGGTGTTCTACGAAGGGGTTAGGTGACCACTGTAGAAGAGTTCATCTGTTCGAATCAAAGCGATCCATTTGAACACACTAAAATATATTTCATAATAAGTAGTATATGATTGACCAGACAAAATTTCCCTGGAAGCGCACGACCAGTTTCGCGGTTCTTACCACTCTTCAGGCATGCGTACCCAGTAATCTCTTGTCAGTTCATTAATATACTTGTACCCAGGAAGTGTATTTTTGTCACAATGACCTTACTGTGCGATATGCTATAAGGATGCTCCGGTCACGTTCATTGCGGTTAGTAACATCTAACCCACCTACAAAACATCGAATCATTGTATTGATCCTTCAGTGGACAAGCTGAAAGAGCTGTCTATCCAAAAATTACCCGGTATTGCAAATAAGGTTATTATGACAGATATATAGTGTGCGTGTGGGTTGGTATGGCTGTTCAATGACTGAATGTGAGCACGGATTTTTTTATTACGCAATTTAGTGTTTAAAACAATAGAAGAATAGAACCTCCCTACTAATCGGTTATGGGAACCATGAATCAAAGCCCCGTTGGAATTGGAATAGAGGACTACACAGGGTCC